ACTTGGGAGGCAGAGGCAGGTGGATCTCTGTGAGTTCAAGTCCACCCTGGTCTACACAGTGAGTTTCAGGACACCTAGCATGACATAGTGAGACCCTGTCCTTTAAAAAATAAGAGGGGGAGGGCTGGAGAGATGGTTCAGCAATTAAGAGCACTGGCTGCTCTTGCAGAAGACACAGGTTTGATTCCCAGCACCCACATGGTGGCTAACAACCATCCATAACTCCAGTTCCAGGGGAATTTGATACTCTCTTCTGACCTCCACTGGCATTACACAACACAGGTGCACTTACATACATGCAGGCAATACACTCATACACATCAAATTAAAAATAAATAAAATATGAAACAAATTTTAAAAACAAGAGCAGCACATATATAACTGTCCTTTCAGACATTTGTCACACTAAAGCTTCATATGCTGAAGTTTAAAAGTGCCAAGAGATTTCTCCATAAAGATAGGTAGACTCTGTGGCACATGTCAACTTTTAAAAACAAAGAAAGTGACAGATATCTGTTTCCCACACACTGAGCACAGAATGGTGCAGCAGAACAATGTTGTGATGTCAATCCATAGGAAATTTTGTCTAGTTCTCACTCACGCTAAAGAGATGATTCAGTGATCATGATAATAGTTATCATATGCTGTTTACACATAGGATTTAACATATTGTACTTCAGTTAAGTCTTCCTTCACCTCAAGGTATTTCTATGTCCTTATTTTAGTACAGAGGCCCAAGGATTCCACTAAGCCTATCTGCTGAGAGACTGAAAGAGAAGGCGAGAACAGCTGAGGCACAGTGAGGGCAACTGTCACATTTCACCCTCACTTCCAGTAGGTTCCAGTGCCTTCCTCAGTCTCTCAGCTCTATTGTGCAAGAGCTCAATTATGAAGAAAAGCATGCAATGGCATTTCCTCTTTCTTTTTACAGTTCAAAGACATACTTGATATTTTTTAATATTTGATTTATTATTTTTATTTTATGTGTATGAGTATATTACCTGCATGTATGTGAGTACACCTGTGTCATGCAATGCCATGGAGGTCAGAAGAAGGCTTGATATTTTAAAGAAACTATCATCACACAAGAAAATGCTCAACATCCCTAGCCATTCTAAAAACATGAGCGCAAGATGCCGCTTCATACCTTCAAGCATGGCTGGAGTTGAACAACAAGATAATAGCAAATGTTGGTGAGGATGTAGAGAAATTGGAGCCCCTCTCACATAGTGCTGGTGAGGATAGAGCATGGTCTTCCAGCTTCTCATCTGGTTACTGTATAATCTTGCAATTTCACTCCTAGGTATATATGCAGGAAAGATGAAAACATATGCTCACACGGAAAGGGGCACACAGATGCTCATAGCAACATTGTTCACAGTGATCAAAAGGCACAAAAACATACATATCCATCAGATGATGAACAGATGAAAAATATATTATATCCATATAGTGGGATATTACTTGGTCACAGGACGATATGAAGTATTTGTGCATGGCACAATATAAATGAAAACACTGTGCTAAGTGCTAAGTGAGGGAAAAAAGAAAAACATTTACATAGAATCACATACTGTATGGTTCCACTGATATGAAATGACCAGAATATAGGTAAGTCTACAGAGACAGAAAACAGACTAATGGGTACTTGGTAGCTAAGGGATACCAGATTCTTTGGGGGTTATAAAATTAACTGTGAGAGGGCATGGTGGTACACGCCTTTAATCACAGCACTAGAGAGGCAAAGGCAGAAGCAAGTGGATTTCCGTGAGATAGAGGCCAACCTGATCTACCCAGCAAGTTCCAGACCAGCTGGGCTAAAGGGAGATCCTGTCTCAAACAAAATGAAAATAAACAAATTAATTAATTAATTAATTAATAGAAGGATTCAACAGCTCTGTAAATTGCAAAAACATGGAACCTTAAATGGATGAGTAATATGTTATATGAATCATATCACACAAAAACCCTGTCAATTAAAATAAAGAAGCCAGAGTGTTCTAAACCTTGGAAAGAGGTCATATCTGGAAAATGGTAGAATGATTAATTGCTTTATATCTTCTGGTACTCCATTTGCTGAGAACTTTACAAATATTCCTGGCTTTTTGTTGTTGTTTTTTTCAGTTACTCCATGAACTAAGATATGCCATGTACTTTTTAATCTCTGTTATCCAAATTAAGACTAAGTCTGTCAAAACTTGCCAAATGTCTTATAACTAGGACTAGACCTACCTCTAAGCCAAATTAATATTCCCCCACCTTACTTTCCCCTTCCCTCTCTTTGTCTTGCCCCAAGATGACCTTGATACATTATCTATGTACCTGTGGTCACCACTCATGACAAGGCTTTGCTTTGGGGGATGAAACACATTTCTAATCAAAGTGATTTTTTCCTCCATTTTCCCCCAAAGTGTCACTAACCACAGAGAAACCCAAATGTCTTTGAGGAATTTAGAAATATTTAAATCAGTCCCTAGCTCACAGACTAACTGCACTTAATTCACTCTTAAAAGAGTCTCTTCAAAGAGAAAGAGAGGGTAAGTGTCAAGAGAGAGAAAATGAGATGAGACGAAGTGAATAAACTCTCCCTCAAACATGTTTGGTGAGTTACAGGTGTCAGATTTTACCCACAAACTCGGCTTCGGCTTTGCTGTGAGACCAGCTCTCCAGTATTACTTTGGCAATAAGGAATCTTGGACGACAACCCCACTGGAGGAGGCTGGGAGGAGTGAGGGCTGCAGAAGAAAGGAGACAGAGATGAGGCAGGCTTTGTAAGGACTGGAAGAATGCAGGTGGTTCAAGGTAAAACTCAGGAAATCTCATAAGAACTTTCCTCCATCTCCCACCAAACTACAATAGTTATCCCATGTTCATTGGCGCTTTCAGAGTTGAGAGGGATGGGGGGAAATGAGCTGCCTGAGGTCTCACTTCAGTTGTTCCTCTTCTGCATTGCCCTCACTGGAAACTACCAGCATCAGCTGAGCATCACACCAACACCTCACAATTATCAGCGGATTCAAACTCTGCCATTCCCAGCACTTGCTGGTGATCGTAAACAGACACATCAGTTACATCAGAAAATTCTTCCAATTTCTTAACACCTGTGCAAGACAAATTTAACCAAGTCACAATTATTAAACTACATAGAAATACATGTGAAACACAACACTTGCCCCTCAGATAAAGATGTTATAGGTATTTAAAAAAAGAAGAAGAAAGAAAAAGAAACCTACAACTGAGCCTGTGAGCACAGGCTGCTGCCCAGCTGCTCCGGAGGTTGAGGCCTGAGAATTAAAAGTTCAAGGCCAACCTGGACAACTTAGTAAGACTGTATCCCCAAATAAAAAGTACAAAGAAGGTTAAGCATGTAGCTCAGTAGTACAGCACTTGCCTAGCATGTAGAAAGCCCTAAATTCAATCTCCCAATAGTGAAGAAAGAGTAGGGGGTGGGGGGAGAGATAGATATGTATGTGTGTGTATATATATATATAGAGAGAGAGAGAGAGAGAGAGAAAGAGAGAGAGAGGATTTAATTTATTTGCCTGTCCAGTCAGAACTGGATTTTTTTTCTACAACTTAACATATAAGCTCCTAGATTAAAGGACAGAGTGAAAGGAAATATAGTCTGGACAATATTATAATTGTTAGTATTAGATCTGAAAGCTTATGGAACATGAATGGCTCAAAGTTCAAAAGTTTTAAAAAGACAGAGAGGAAAAAATAGGGAACCCATGAGGCCATAGGTGTTCAGGATTTATCTCACTACCCTAACTGAAGGTTCCGAAGAAAATCAGAAGATCAGGAACCTACTATGCTGGGCAGGTGAGGAGGAGAGGCGTTGCTCATGGAGAAGGGCCAGGGACCCCCTGCATGGAGGTGGCAGTGTGGAAGGCAGAGACCTGGAGACGACACAGGGGAACTTCCAGATAGAGGAGAATGGGTAGAAAGGAGACTAGGGAAGAGACAGCAGTGGGAGGAGGGAAGGAAGAGGAACAGGGGAGTAAGGGAAACACAAAATGGAAAGCTGTGTCCACGGCAGGAACAGAAATGTGCTACTCATGTCTTCATTTGAAAAACCAAAGCACAACTGAGAGCAATTCCTGACTAAGCTCATTTATTATTAACCATATCAGTTTCTTACAGATTTGTCTTCTTCCAACTCCTAGCAAAATCTTGACCCTAAGGAGTCGAATACCTTAAGGGAATTTAACAGAAAGATTCCACGCATGCCTAAGAACCAGTTTGGTTACCATTGAACTTATTTACAAAGAATATTTTTCACATAACTAATAGGAATGACTTTAAATATGAAGAATTTTAAACTTTAAAAAGTGAAATAAATTTTACTGAGACTAAAAAAGCACTCTTTTTTTAAATGGCAAGGGCACATTCTGCTGTAACTTACTATCAAATTGGATTTTATAATGTTTCAGAGACATTATTGCTTTTGCTAAAAATACATGAACCATATTTTAATCTGTTGATTATACGTGTTTTTATACTTCACTTTAATGGCCAAATAGTGGTGACTAGGTACTAGTGTGACTGGTACCTAATAATAAAGCACAGGCAGAAAGTTCTACCCATACCAAACATAATTAAATTTTTATAATTTTATCACCACTCATTTTTAAAAGAAACTAAATCTAATTACAAAATTGGGGTAGGTTTTTGAAAGTAAAATACAAGTTTTCTATGACTTTCTATCAAAGAGGCAAAAAACAATGTAAATAAAGATCTAGAGAAGGAATAAGCAAAATTAAAATTTCACATACAGACGGCAATAAAACCACATGGTAGACACATGGGATCTATTTAGAAAGATAAAAACATAAATACCAAGCAATAATAACAGCTTTACTATTAGAATAACCACAATTTATCAAAATGCCCTTATTTACAGTTCAGCTTTGACTGAACTTATAACTAAAAGCGACTTAATGTTATGTAACAGTTCTCATGGCATAATTCTCCCAGATACAAAGAATAGTTCATTTTCTATGTGGTATTTTATTCAAAACTAGAAAGGCAAAACATCAGAAATGGGAAGCATTTCACAGGGACAAAAGCCAGCTTAAAGTTCATCTGGCCTCAACTTCTCTCTATAAGCAAAAATTCTCTCAAGGTGTCACAATAAGAGTCCTGCCCAAACCAACCCTACTGAAAATGCCCTTTAGTGTTTCCTACTTTTGAGTCCATGGGTACCAAAGCATAAATGAGCATCAAACAAATACTGGGAGTCAATGTGGCAGTGAGGTTTTCTTTCAGGATATCATCATCTGCTCTGCTAAGCGCAAGCCGCTTAGCAGACTCAATTTAACAGAATCCAAGAAATACCAGTAGAGATTAGTTCCCTTAACCCCTACTTTTTGCAGTGAGAAGAAGAAAACTCTGAAGCACTATGTTACAGTTTCATTCCCTAGTACTACAGCACCTTTTACACAGTCACAAGCACAAAGATGAGCACTCACCCCCCAACACGTACCACGAAGCAGGCGGATGGACAGATTTTGTGGCTAAATCTGCCCTTTTGCTCCTAGTCTTCAACTAGTCAAAATTTTCTGGTAAGTTTGCTGTTCTTAAGAGGAAACTATGCAGCCTCCAAATAAAATTAACTTTCCCATTATCTGAACAGAGCTGGAGTTCAGGGTACAGTCAGTCAAAACTTAATGTGCATGGGGCTAAGACAGGTGGCTTCATTTTCCACCGCCCTGATGATCTCAGAGAAATTAATTAACTTGGCTGAGGGACAGCCAGCTGAGACAGTCTTTCTCTGAGGTACTCAATCAAACCCTGTTACTTCTGAATGAAGAGCCGCAGTCTCTTAAATATTGATGGAGTCTCAGCTCCCTCTCCATGCAGGGTCAGCCCAGGTGGGGTGCAAGAGAAACTCACCTGCCGTTCTTGGTCACAATCATTTCATTTGTGACTTCTTTGAATCTCTGCCAGAGGGGGGCATCCTCCAGGATGATCTGAAGTTGCTTCTCGGTGGGGTCTCCTTTCTCCCGCCCTGCCTGAAGCTCACTTTCCACCACATTGAGCAGGCGAGACACGGTGCCTTCACCAGCCTTCAAGGCACCAGACTTCTGCGTGCCCAGTTCACTCATAGCCATAGGCCCCTCTCAAACTTTGCTGAGAGCTGTTCCCCACCTTCCCTGCTTCCAGTTCCTTCTTTCCCTCACTTGCCTGCTTTTCCAACCCAGCTGCTCAGAGGCTGGGGAGTGGAAGAAAATGCCCTGGCTCTTGCCTAAGCTTCTAGTACGATACCCCTAAAAGTCTCCAAATTATACCTCCAACCTGTTAAGCTTCAGTTGGGGAGCAGGGTGGAGGGAAGGGAGATGTGGGGAAGAAAAAGCCCTCTCTTAATTACTCACTGGATCAGGTGGGTGTGATCCTGGCTTCCCCATTGGTTGCCGTGCCTAGAGTAGACGTTTAAGAAGAGTACTCAATCCAAATTATCAGGCTTTTATCTTGTTGTACCTGAAGAGGTCTAATCGGTGTATTGAGGACCATTTTCCTGTTAATTAAAATTATTCCAGGCCCAGACTGCAACAATCAGGCAAATCATGTTTGTGTATAAATCGTGGCATGTGGCACCTATGTGGAAGGAGGTCCTCAGGAGAAGCAACGAACTTGATGCCCAGCCAAGCCATCCTGATAAGAGTCCGCAGCTGAATTCCCTCCACCCTGCTCCAGCACCTTGGACAGATACAGAGGCCATGGAAAGAATGGCCTAAACAGAAAGTCAAAGGCACTGCGCCAAGAAACAAAACTATTGCACCTAAGAATCAAGGAAGATGCCCTGTGTGCCACAGTCAAGGAGTTGAGGTCAGAAGAAAAGAGTTAAGGACCTCTTTCTCCCCAGGAAGCCGCTCCAGTCATCTCTCTCCCGGCCAATCCCACCCACACTCACACCCTCCTCACGTCAAGAGCCCTTTCATCTTCAAAAAACTGAAATTTGTCCTTCCTCCCTAGAATCCAGACCCCAATTTTTAGTACCTCAAGTCCTAGTGAGAGGGAAGGTGAAAGGTAGTTTGTTCCAGTTATTCTAAGAAAAAGCTCTGCCCCCAGTGAGTGAAAATAAACTTTCACATCATTTTGCAAGGTGATGTAGACCCTTGACCCAAAAAGCCATCTGGTTTTCTCTTTGGACAGCCCATGGCCTACTCTGGCCTCCCAGGGTGAATCCCCACATTTCTTGAGAAAAGGAAATTAGTAGAAACCTTTCCTTTTACTAAAGATGCACAGTACCAGCGGATGTGAGGTGGAGGCTAAGGGGGAACACAAGCCAAGCCTGAGTACAGCCTAGGGGTCAGATTCTTCTTGAAATCACAAAAAAGTAAGAACCTCAGAACAAAGAAAATAAAGACAAAAAGTTTAGATTAAAGTCAGAATAAGGATGATACTGAATGTGTGTTTAGCACCCACAGAGTACTGACAAAGGTGGTGGATCAAAGAGAAATACAGTCTTCACAGAATTAGGAATCTGATGGGGGAACGAAGTGTCACACCACTAAATTTGATGATGGTGGTGGTTTGGGGTTTTTGTTGTTGCTGTTGTTTGTTATTTAATTTAGGTTGTTTTGTTGTCATTTTTTTAAACAAGGTCTCCCTCTATTCCTGGCTGGTCTAGAACTTGCTTGCATGTAAACCAGGCTGGCCTGGATCTCACAGAGATCCACCAGTGCTGGGATTAAAGGTGTGCACTATCGGCCATGTTTAATGGCTGGTTTTTAAAGATAAAGGACAGAGCCACAGGCAGGGAATGCTAGCAACCTCTTAGAAACTAGAAATTGCAAGGATATAGGTTCTCCCAGAGAGGTTCTGAAAGAGCAATGGCCTGAAAGCACTTTAATTTTAGCCTTATGAAACTGGTGTTGACACTGGCTACTCTTGCAGAGGACCCAGGTTCAATTCCCAGCACTCACATGGCAGCTAACAACCATCCATAACTCCAGTTCCAGGGGATCCAACACCCTTTTCTGACCTCCTCAGGCATTACATGACATCGGTATACATGCAGGCAATACACTCATACACATAAAAGAAAAATAATAAATAAAATATTTTTAAATGCCCAGAAAAATCAACCACATAGGCATGAATAAGGATAGGAGAGAAATGAAAGAAATCATGTTTTTCTTATCAGTAACTATGAAATAGTCTGTTTCTAATAACCAGGATAATGCATGAGTCTCTTCAACTAGTAGAACCAGGAAAAAATAAAAGGCCCTTAGAGAACAGCACATACTGTGGCTGTGTGGCAAACACCAAGACAGAGCCTGCTCTTTTCACTTGAGTCTGGCCTGCCTGGACAATGACTCTACTTCCCAGCAGGGACTCCTCTGAAGTCTGCATGACATTTAATATATCAGACTGAACCATGTGAAGCTGCTGGAACTCTTACCTTGTTTTTCATTGAGAGTAACAGTTCATATAGTTTAACCTAACAGCTGAATCTAACATTAATGCCAAAGGTCCATCATACATCCTTTGATATAGCAATGTAGTATCTTTTTCTTAGATAAGGGTTTCCTAGTTAACAAGTATCATACTTTGGCAATTTTCAAAAATATAATGGAGGAGGGGGAAAAAAGAAAAAGGAAGCTACCTACAACATCCAGTGATGATGTTACTGACAAACTTGATTTGGGTGTTATTACTTGCAGATATATGGACCTATTCTCTATGGGAAAATGAGATTTAAAGTGCTTCTGTTAGATATGTAAGATTCAGAGCATAGTCTCAAATCCTGTCCCCTGAAAGCCCTCTGAAATAGCACAAAGACATAAAATGAAAACCCACAGAGCTGTGGCAGATAGGAAAGTAGCAGCAGGTAAGAGATGTCAGCAATATGGAAGAGGCAGACAGAACAGGGGTGTGCTAACCATTGGAGCAGGTCATAGAAACCAAAGCCAGGAAAAGAATCCAGCAAGAAGCAAGCCAGTTATACCACAGAACTCTCAAATGGCTCAGGGATGTGGTAGATCATACAGCTCTGGAAGGGAAGGAGATGGTTCCAACTAGTACCAAACAAAAATTACCTTGAAATTTTGTTCTATACTTAAGAAACACTTCACCTCTGAGATCACCACCTCTCAGCCAGCAACTCTCCCTTGCTGTGGCAGAGAGCAAGAGATAGGCTTTCTAACATCAGTTATCATGAGAAGATTTGAACTCACAGACCACTGGTGTCATACTGAAAAGATGGGGTCTATGTACACTCCTGAGGTAAGAGATTTGAGGTGCCATTAATGAACTGACTATTGGCAATTACCCCCAGTACCTCTTAAACTTAATTAATTAATTGATTTTTTTAATGTAGTAAATATACAACACAACAGAACATGCTTCAGCCACAAAAAAGTAATCTGGTGATTTATGACAAAATAATGGAACTGGATCATTCTGTGAAGCAGAACAAGCCATGCACAGAAAGAAAGGTAGTGTGTGATAAGCACTTATGCAGAACCTAAAGATGCTGCTCTCACAGAAGTTGAAAGCAGAATGGCGGTTATGAGAGTCTAAGGTTAGGGGGAGGGAGGGATGAGGAGAGGTTGATCAAAGGCTTCCTGTCACTGATAGGAACAAGAAGTTCTCATGTGCTATTGCATGGCAGGGTGTCCATAGATAATAATTATACTCAGTGTATTTCAAACAACTACTGGAAACAATTTTGAATAGGAAGAAAAGTAACAAGTTTAGTCAAAAGTCAAACAAAACAAAATAAAAACTGTTGCCAAGAAATATTCTTCAATAAAGCAAGGAAATAAACCAAGAAAAGGAACTATGGACATAGGAACTGGGGGACCCAAAAGAAGAGAGAAGTGAGGGGGACCTCTGTAATGATGAGGAATGTTAGAATGGAGAGCAAGGAACTGAATTCAGTGAAAAAAATAAAGAAAAAATAATGGCATCCAGTGACCCCAGGTCCATTTTCAGGGTACTAACATGAGTTTTGGCTTAAACAGAGGGCATGATTAAGCATTCCTGGTCAAGATGTGGTCCCATACATCATGGCCACTCTGATGGTTAAATGGTTCATCTGTTCATTATTGAGGCTGATGGGGGGGGGGTCCCTCTTCTCATTAAGGTTGTTACTGAGGCTGACTTTCTGCTCTCATGGATAACTGTCCTCATCTTGGTGGGGACTGAGGGACTGTCTTTTAAGATTTTGCTCTTCCTGGAATTCAAAGTTACTCAAAGGGAAAGGTTAAGGACAACTCACTTCTCTGCCTTCACCCATACTACAGGAGGACAAAATGAAGGCTTTCAGCCTGCTTTTAGCTACCTTGTAGCCCAAGAGAGGAACCAGTGCTTTCTTGCAAGAGCAGCTTCTAAGTGGCCGTTGCAGACCTGCATGAACACAGAGCATCCTCTCATGCCTTCTACATCCCTAGGTTGACACAAGCTGAACAAATGCATTTCTGAACTTTGCGCTGTGGAGTTAGAATCAGGTTTGGCCCCCTGGACTTCTCTGAGGGTCATATTAATATCAATGGGTTCCAGGGTCAGCCACAGATACCATCCTATAACAACTGTGTGTTTCACCTTCACAGCAGCCAGCTCAGGTTGAAGCAAAAACCTGGAAGTCTGTTGAAGGAATATCAGCTCCTTTAAGAATGATGTATGTCCATGGTTCCAACACTTGGGAGGTAGGGGCAGGAGAATTAGGAGTTCAAGGCCAACAACAGCCTACATGAGAACCTTTCTCAAAAAAAATAATAAAATAAAACTAAAGTTTATCAGTTTTCTAATGTGCTTGAAGGTACTAAGATGCATGTTAATCTTGACGGAGAGTTGGAATTTGAGCTAGTGATAGATATATGTACTTTTAATCACTACTTTATAATTTGCTTCAAATGTACAGGCTTAAAGCAACATCCTTTATTATCTCAGTTTCCATGTAAAGTATAACTGGGTTCTCTGTTCCAGATCTCACACAGCTACAGTTAAAATAGGAAGGGGGTCCCTCTTCTCATTAAGGCTGTTCAAGAACTCCCGTCCTTTTGTCTCTAAGCCTGGAGCCCTCAGCTCCCGAGGGGGCTGGCCTCTGGCAGTTTAGCACCCAACATCCTGCTAGAGCATCTTCCTTCTTCTAGTCTCTCTAACCAACTTCTCCAAACAGGAAAAACTAAA